CATGGCTTCACTGAGTTACGCAAGCCCCTTCGTCACGACAAGGCAGTGATCCATGAAGGGGAACAGCATCTTAGACCAAGCTAAATCCAAAAATGCGAAGGAATTCCTGGAAGCTTGGTATTCAGACAAGGCAGCCATCAACAGGCACATAGAGTTAAACAACATCTACATACTCAAAAGAAGCAATAAAAAGAAAACAAAAGACCAGAGTACTTCCTCACCAGCAATCATCACCCAGATAAGCAGAGATTAACACCAAGATTATCACCAGACAATCATGCAGTAAACAATACCCTAACCAAAAAACTACTAGGAGAAGAAAAAATTAAAAATAAACCACCACCACTGGCAGGGCAAGCCACTGTATATAAACAGAGAGCAAACCCTACTCCATTCTAGCACTGAAGATGTTACCTAGACGGGTAACAAAATATTTGCCAGAAAACAACCAAGCTCAGAGAACCCCGAGGACTCCACAGTTCAACACTGAGCTACATATATTCTCTTCTATTTCCTTCTGAGTTGAAAGTGGTCCTTACCTTTAAAGCCCTACATGGCCTGGGACAAGTCTATTTGTGGGACTGCCTCTCCCTGAGGGTTTTTGCCTGTCTCACTAGATTGGATAGGGTGAGCATGCTCTAGGTTCCTTCCTGAAAAATTACATCTAGTGAGACCTAGGAAGTGTGGTTTTTCCATGTTCCCCTTGGCAATCCAGCAGGCCTCCACCCTCTTAGCCCCCTGAAGACCTTCATAATCAATGTCCACATGTATTTTTGAAGGAAAGATTCAAATCCTGAACATATCCTAGCTGTACTTTAGAGACAGCTGTAATATATTATTCTTTCCAGTTGCCTTCTATACTCCACTTAGGTTACAACTAAATTAGGCTGTAGTTTTATACTGATGTTATCATAATGCACATTATTTTTTACCCAACTAAAGGTAATTTTCAAATTTTATTTGTTATTCTCTGTATTATTTTATGGTAGTTTGCGTCCTTAGAATATATTTGAATTCTTATGTTTCCCCTTTCCTTTAACATACTGACAATAACCTGGGGGAAAGTAAAACCTTATAGTGCCTTCTTTGAGTTAATATAGTCTATTCATCTGGGAAAAAGAACAGATTTTTCCTGTCTTTGTATCAGGTTAATTGTAGTTATTAATGTTGACCTGATCAGACAGATTGTAAGGACATGTTCATGTGTAGAAGATGGATGAGAACAAGGGGAGCTCAAGTATGCCATTATCAGTACAGTTCTAAATGTTTATGCACTGCTAGGTTACAATTGGGGGCTGTATTTTGAATAGGTTTATTGTTGGATATATGAGAAGTGCTTTTAAGATTCAGTTGGGGTTTGCCTCTCCTAGTCTGAGGACCTAATGTACATTACTGTAACTATTTGTAACAAGAGAACACAAATATCCTACTCAAGCATATGATCTTAGCATGTGGGGTTTTTATATTGTTAATAGTATCATTTTAATATAATGTTCTGTATTACTTGTGTCTTGTTAAGTTTCTTAATATTCAGCAAATATATATAGCATTCACATGTATTTCCTCAGTTTGAATTTTGGACAAGACTACATTTGACTGGCAGTTAGCAGGAAAATGATTTGATACAATTCCTATAGCACCCATACCTAGTCAGAACAATCTCTCCCAAAGTGTATCATGGTATTAAAAGACACAGAATTAGAAGATGCATTTCATCTAAGAGTGTATGGATCTGATCAGCCATGACATGCTGTAGCACCTTGCCCGAGACGGGGATGTTGGCCACTGGCTAATAGTTATCACTGTGATGGAATGTGTCTATGAAGGGGGAGGTGATGTGATGGACTACAGTAATGCAGCAGGTTCTCAGGAAGGAGGGAGCACGTTCCAGGAAGGGGGGCAAGACAAGAGACAACACAGTCCAGAGCTGGATCGTGAGAAGAGGAAGAGATTTAGGATAGCCATTCCCTAGAATCTCCCAAAGTATATCCACTAGGTTAGAGTAATACCGATTTAGTCTGGCAAGATTCTGTCTATATGGTGTAAGCAATAAAAGAACTGAACTTGGCTGGACTGTTTCATTCTGTCTATATGGTGTAAGCAATAAAAGAACTGAACTTGGCTGGACTGTTTCATTCTGTCTATATGGTGTAAGCAATAAAAGAACTGAACTTGGCTGGACTGTTTCTCTGTCATTCTTGAGCTCGGCCTGACAATCATAGATTTAAAAAAAAACCTCCCCTCTGGGAACATTCAGAATAAACAAAATCTAACATAAGAAGACTGCTGCATCAGACTTTCAGCAACACAATAAGCCTGCTTGAGAAATGAAGGGGGTGAGGGGACTTAACCCATTTCCATTTATACTAAATAAGAAAAAGAGCTTTGTCATATTGAACATAAAGTATTTATCTTTTTCTAAATAATAATCCTAAATGTAAAATGTACACAATTAAAATGAATTAAATATTACTAATCTTTGTTTAGTTGTTTCTAAATATAAAAATAACAATACATTATGTTAATCACATAAGTAAAAATGCATTTACCTTAACATAATTGCTATCTTGAAGCTCAACTATCATATCAAGCAATGTATCTGATGCCATATAGTATGCTAACCAAATGGTCTTAAGAAAAATCTCCTTGTTAAAAGGAAAAGGTGCATGAAAAGATGCTGAATGTTTAATAATCATTTGTATTTCCCGAGTATAGTTCCAAAGGTCTCGGCATGCATTCTGAAGCAATGTCCAGTGGCGACCTCGATGGGCAATAACCTGGAACATATTTATCAAATCCACAATTAACAAGTGGGGGTTGGATATCACAGTGATTTAAACAGCAAATATAAACCATATTTTCATTTATTAAAAGCTTCAAAATTAAGCATGCTTATTTGTGAGAAATCTACTGAAAACATTATTTCACTTTCTTGTTTAAGATACTAGCCAGTATATATTTCACATCAGAATTCCAAAACTTTAGATCATAATTGTTTTGCTAGAACTGCTACGGAGAGAGATCTAAAGCAGCTTTGAGCAAGTTATTTATTTACAGAGCTTATAAGCCACTCCAGTCAACCAAGTCTGAGCAACATACAATTCCCCAAATTCATAATTTGGACTAATATAGATAAAACAAATTGACAAAATCAGTATAACATTGACAATTAGAAACCAATTAAAATTAAAAAGCATACGTTATAATGCAACCATACATATACTGGAAATCAAAACATTCAAAACATTCAAAGCCAAGTAGAACCAATTAATCAGTAGAGGAATAGGTATAGAAACCATGTCCCCAAAGCTTAAAGAAATAATCAAATTTCTCATCTCTTTTATCATGTATCTAGTGCCACAGTTTAGGAGCAATCTTTCCTAATTAATTTCCACCCAGCACTTATTATAGAAAGCTTAGCAGCTTACCATAAAAGCTTTCAGATATTAAATTAAACCACTTGTGTCTATGAATACACTATAACCTTGGAGTGAATGCTACAAACCATCATGAATTTCTAATCTGCATTATGGCTATTATTCATTTTTCCATATGGTTTAGCCTCCTCTATCAGCTATGACTGGGTTAACACATTATATAAAGTCAGGTATTTTTAAAACTATGATTTGTTGAACAATAATAGTCTGGGTTGGCTTTAATATTAATCGACATTGAGCGGCTTAGCACACCATGCTGTCAAAATCAAGCTACACCGCAACTTTGTGTTAAATATACATCGGATTCCTTGATTTCTTTTCCTTAGTTTCTTTTGCAATCAGCTATCTAGAAATTATTTCACCCTTCTGCTGATTCCTGCACCACTACCAATCAGTAGATCAATTAGCAATCGTGACCATTTAAGAACTTCCAGGAATATATAATATTGTATTTTTAAAACTCTGCTGTCTTTTATTTTTATTATCTATGGTGGGAAAGAGATCTGTTTAAAGATACCTATTCCAGTTGTTCACAAATTCCTCCTCATTGTATTTAAGTTTTTAAAAAGAATCCCTTGCAGGAAAAAAGCGAATTCATCCTACTCCACTTTACCTAGCAAAGGCATCATTTCCCATATTTCCTACTATTCCAAAGTATCACTGAATTAGTTTAAGCCAATAATAAATTCTACTTTTCAACCCTCTTGGGAGGATTCTGATTCCCATTCAGAAGAACCTGTGATAGATAGCATGAGCGGGGAAGATTCTGGAATGCAGCTTCAAGGTTGTCAGGAGAGGGGAGAGACATTCCAGGGGAAGCACCTCCTCAGCCCGCAACAAGACTGTGGGAAAATGAAGAGGATGAGGCTGGCTCCTCCCTAGAGCCTCACGGGGTATATTCTGTAGTAGCTGTAGATAAGTTTAGTCTGGCGAGATTCTGTCTAATAGGTAATAGTCAATAAAGAACTGTACTGCACTGGATGGCCTCATTGTGGTTCTTGGGCTGAACCTGACAGAACCTCACTAAATCACGCCTACTTTCATCCCTCTCCCATGGCCTTTCCTTGAATCAAAACAAAAACTAATTCATAGCTTTGCTTTATGAGAGACAATTTGAGATTTGGGAAGGCCATACATTGGAAACTCTCCTGTTCTTTTACCCAAAATAAGTACTCAATTGCTATAGGCCCTCATAAAGATCTAAGATTCTAAGATCTTATTGTCTCTAGAATTGAAAAATGTGATGTTTTATCTCTTTTTGTAAGTGCCAATTTCACTTACTTATTCTTCATTACATTCCAGGTAATGGAGAAATGCCTTTTATTTACATTTTGAGTTTGCTTTGCAGGGACTACATTCCCAGCCACTTTACAAGATGACATCTTTCTAGATTCCATCCATTAATTTCTGGTTTTTGTTGTTTCATATGAACTCTTTGTGATGTAAACACTAAATATATTAGTGTTATATCACAGCCTTATATCTCCAGCCATGAAAAAAAAATCAAATCATTTTTGTAATAATAATGCAGCTCCCTCTTGCTCCAGAAATAAGAGAAAGAGCACATATGGAGATGGATTTAGTTTACACCTGACCAGTAATGACTTCCACGAATCACTGGAAAAAGAGAGCCAATGAAATAAAAAATAAAGTTTAAAATGATCCTATCTCATCTTCTTAAAGAGTTCTTGTCTTAAAAACAGAATAGCAGTGCAGCAAGAAGCTAGAAATTGACAGAAATAGGTTCCTGACAACATGAAAATATTATTTACTCAGTGAAATCAGTAGACATTTTTACTAAATATTGTAAATATATTGTTAGCATTACCACAGCTCTTCTAAAATGAAGAAATATTTTAGTGAAATGCTCCAGCACAGCAGAATAACAAATTGCTTTTTCACGGTCTTTAACAGAAATATGACCCTGAGGCAGTCGAGGAATGTCTCTATCATTCAACTTAGCACTACGCTCAGAAGCAGCAGTGAGTTCTAAAACAAAAACAAACAAAATATCACTGAGTGTAACTGACAGCAAGTTCACAAAGTAATTGTAAAAGCAGATTCTAAACTTCTTCTTAAGAGAACAAAGTCTATACAATAGGAAGTAGTCTTTCTAGTCTTTAGTTATCCTGATTTATTAAAATAAACTAGATTTTTTAAAAAAGAAAAGAAAAATGCCACAGAATGTTCTATAATATTCACATAAATCTCTTGTAAGATTGGGTTTTAACTGAATAAACATCACACATTTCAAACTAATATGTTTTAATCAGTGAAAGATGGTTCTTGGTACAATTTGAGTTACTCTTTGTCTTGTGGAGAATATATTCTCCACTCTGCTTTCTAAAAGAAATATATATCAAACGCTGCGGTGCACATGTTACATTTCTCTGGTTCGTTGATTCAAGAAAAATAACTGAAAGCATGTCAGGGCAGATATAACAAATCTTTCAGCTGACCTGTCCAGATGATACTAGGGAAACCATTAACTTTCTTTTATAATATTCATAAATGCTGTGTGAACTCCACATTACCAAGAAAAACCAGTTGATTCCTTCTCAGTTCCTACCAGGTTATTCTTCCTTTTAAGGCTCCTCAGTATGTCTGTTCTGTCTTGCCTTACATAAAGACTACCATTTTCCTTTGATTATTGACAACTACTCTTGTTCTGATATTTTATCTGCCGACAAACCTGGCCCCATCCATATGAGACTTCTTAGAATTTTTTCAAGTTCCACAGATAGAGCACTTGGCAATAAATAATGAAAGCTTAGCTGTGAGTTAGTATTTCTTTGAAAGTAGATCCATAATTTGAGAGGAAATGACCTGTTCAAAAATTGTCAAATACCTGACAAGCATGTAGCAACCCACCTGAATCTTGGCCTGAAGTTGAGAGTTGGGTCTGTTCAGTGGATTCACTCATGTCATCAATTTCAGGGGAGAGACAATTATTGTGGTCAAGTATGCTTGAGCTGGAAACAGTGCCTGAAGAAATACTTTGTAATGTAGGGCTAGAAGCAGGCAAGGAAAGCCCATTGTCGAAGACAGGGGAAGTAGGGTCAGGGGTGTCTGAGCAAAGAAGAGCAAGGAAGGTTATATTCATTGCAGATGAGCTGTTGGCAGCAGAATTTTCAGGGAAGGTATTTCTTAGACTCCAGAATTTCATAACTGCTCTCAACCTAACAAAAGATCAAACTAGAAAAAAATCTGAAGAAATATTTTTCAGGGTTTCTCTGATAGCTAGTCAGGAGCTACTGTATTTGATTACTTAGCTGCTAGCAATAAAGAAGATTGATGGTGCAAGAGGAATTAACAGTTACACATTATATTGTAGCTGTCAAATGATATGGAAAGGCCATTCTGTTTAAAGATATGTAGGAGAAAATCATAATGTCTTGTTTCCATTTCCATTAGTCTCCTTCCAAAGTCTCAAGAAGGAAAAACATACAGCACTCAAAAGTAAAAACTGGGAAAAGTACATTTAAATAAGAACTGCAGACCTTTCAGGGTAAGCAGTTGCCAGGATCAATCATGCCTCAATATGAACTGTATTTGTTCCACAGAAATATCTTTAAGTCACTGAATTCTTTCAAAACATAACTTCAAGACTTGCTGTATAACAATTGTGTACACCCAAACATAAGCAATAAACAAAATCATAAACAATAGATCCATGTAAGTTATATTCTCTGGAATCAATTATAAGATCTTTGCCCTGGAATTTATAGATGCTCAGAGGAATTCATCAAGCCTTTTTTGAAGTTAACTATCAAGGAGGGCTGATTTATGCTAAGCCATGTGACTTCCTCAGCTTCCAAAGAGAAAATAATGTTTGACATCCACCTAATTCAGCTAAACAACACCAAACCCACATAATAGAATGCTGTAAATCACAGACTTCACAGATTAGCAAACCAGCACTGATAGATCTTAAAAATTGCCCTTAGTTTTCTTACTAGACATATACTGAAAGATGTTCTAGGCAACAACAAATGTAAGTTTCAAATAAAAAAATAATCAAAGTTATATTCAATGGACATAGGAATAGTATTTCTGAAAGCAAAGTCAACAGTGCAAAGCACTGTTCGTAAGACTAGTGAAATTATCAACCCCCATATTCCATACATATAAGTATTAATTTGCAGGTAATGTGTTTAAGCTATGAGATAATATGTTGGACCAGACAGAAGAAATGGTAGAATGAAAATAGATGTGTTCAATCTAGGAAAAAGACTACTGAAATAGAATAAGAGGAAACTATGCAAAGCATTTTCAAATATTTTCAGAGACAGAGAAGGGGAAAAAATGTTTACCTACCTCATAGGGACAGGAAAGATCTTTCAAATATATAAAACTGAGAAAAGTCTAATTCTAAAAACAGTACAACTACTGTTTAAAGAGCTATGGAAATCTTTCTGGAGATATTAAACATTCATTGTATCAATTTTCATTAAAGATTTGACTGCAATAACTCTGGTTTTTAAGATGCAACAAATGGACTGTTACCTATTCCATGACTAACAAGAATCTTGTTTGTGGCCAGCGTAGATTAAGATCAAATGTCCATCTAGAATAAAATAAATACTTGAGAGAGAGAGAAACAGCAGAGCTTCTATAGTGAGCCCAAGGCAGGTAATTGGAGAGAATCAACAATCAGAACTCATTAAAATCCTGGAAGCAGAAAATGTGGAGGAGGAAAGCGAGGGAGATGGGGGAATAGAGAGAATGACGATTGAAAAGATAACACACATCTAGAACAAAGAATCCAGAAACAAGTGCAATTATGGTACAAGATACAGGCAAGACTACAGAATTGAAGATAAAATGTATATATGTATGATTAAGCTTTAGGTAACAATAGATTGAATAATTAAGATGTTGGCTATGAAAGAGTACACACACACTGGAAATGTTCCTTAAGGAATTGGAGAATCTGCTATATTTACCATAGTAAAATGGTAAAATCAGAATTAGGGCACATTTTCAGTCACTTCCAAAATCAAAATTCAGTGATTGCCTCAGAAGCATTCAGTGTTAAAGCATTAATTGCCCCATTAATTCAAACCTAGCCACCAAAGGTTAGCCACTCAAAAAAGATCTTTTAAGATCATTCCAAAAGAAGTCAACATGCAAGAGTGATGCCAATTTTATTATTCCCTGTTCTAAACTTCTGGAAACAAGGGTACAAAATGATTACTATGGATACCTTAATGCATTTTAATAAGCAACTGCATAAAACAAAATAATTGCAAATTCACTGTTTATTATCTATACTATTACCGGTTTTTCGACTGATTTTTCCTGAAGGTGTTCCTTTAAAAAGTTGGTATTTAAAATCTTTGGTTTCTTCCTCTTTAGCTGATATTATGATTGTGCCTGAATTGCTTAATGAGAAGATTTCAGGGTTGAGATCATTATAACTGCAAAACAAAAACACCCCCCAACACAAACACATACTTAATAACTGAAAACAGATAAAGAATAGGTGTCAAATACATTAATATTACAGTTTTGTTATTATATATCCTTGACACAGAATAATTGGTCTAAAGTCATGTTAACAGTCCTGTGGATAGTTTAAAGTGTAGCAACAATAGGATAAGCCTAGACTATATTAGTTAATGTTCTGAACTGCATCTTCAAGAGCAAGGTGACTGAAATCAGCCCTTCTTAAACAATTTAAGATGTCCAACATAAATGATAGTTTCCTACAATTTTAAATTTATGTCACTATAAGCAAGACAAATTTCAAATTTAAAGCAACATTCTGCTGATTTATAAAAACATAACATTTGAGTTTGTTTATTGCAAAGGTTATAGTAGCAGTTGTAGTATTGGTAATAATTTATTTTGATCAAAAACCAGTACAGCAAAGGTTGTATAAATAATTTACATCATTTTAAACAAATTATAATTGACTCTCATTTTAATGGACTAATTGAGGGAGGGGTGACAGTCACAAATGTCCTTTAAATTGAAAAGCACATCATGTCAAGGACATTTACATCACTTGTGTGATATCATTAAACAAATTTCACAAATTGCTATTTTTCATTAATTGACATAATTTGCATGATACCATCATTACACAAATGATACAAATCTCCCAATATCTGAGCCATCAGACAACTACTGGAAACACTAGGGCATTGACTGAAAACTGGACAGCATCCACAGAGAAACCCGTTAAGAATTCCACTGTTTGGGTGGGTTTGTTGATGCCCTCACTGAGATATCAAGATTCTGCTGAGACTTCCATGAATAGAACCCAGCTCCACAACATCAAAGCCATGAGTATAAATGAATTTACTATAGCTGTACTAATAATAAAGGTTGTTGCCTTATGTAAATGCTGAAGAACTGCCTTGCAAGGACTTTCTCCATTGCTTCAAGGTCTTTCTTCTGAAACTCTCACAGCCTTAATGATCTGCTATGCCATACTTTTTTCAAAAAAACTGGCATACAGATGTAAATCCAAAATATGGCCTCAACAAGGGACACTAAATAAAGGAAGTAGCTATCCATGGTGGTATCTCTCATAGCTCAAGTACTTGCAGAATGGGTACTACGGATTCAAGATTCTCTCAGGAAGGTGAAATAGCCGTAGTCACAGTCCACTGGATATATCGCCAAAATATATATAAAACAAGTCAAAAACATACTTGTTCGTTTATTCATTAAGGAAAATGATCCAACACTACATATTTGTGTGTGGCAAAAGTATGTGAACCTTTTCTTTCAGTAACTGCTGTACCCCCTTGGGCAGCAATAATCTCAACTAAATGTTTTGGATAACATCAGTCCTGCACATCAGCTTGGAGGAATTTTAGCCATTCCTCCTTAGAGAACAGCTTCAGCTCAGGAATATTGATGGGCTTCCTTGCATGAGCCACTCGCTTCAGGTCCTTCTACAACATTTCTCTAGGATTAAGATCAGGAATGTGACTTGGCCATTCCAAAACATTAGCTTTCTTCTCCTTTAACCATTCTTTGGTCATATAACTTGTGTGTTTTGGGTGGTTGTCTTGCTGTATGACCCACTTTTTCTTGAGCTTCAGTTCACAGATACCCTGATATTTTCCTGTAGAATTTTCTGGTACAATGTAGAATTCATAGTTCTATCAATGATGGCAAGCCATCCTGGTCCAGAGGCAGCAAAGCAGGCCTAAACCATGACATTGTCACCCCATGTTTCACAAATGGGATAAGGATCTTATGCTGGAATGGAGTGTTTGCCTTTTGCCAAACATGCTTTTCATTCAAGCCAAAATGTTGTAATTTGGTCTTATCCATCCACAACATTCTTCCAATAGCCTTCTGGCTTATCCATGTGGTCTTTCACAAACTGTAGATGGGCAGTAGTGTTCTTTTTGGAGAATAGTGGCTTTCTCCTTGCAACCCTGCCATGCACACCACTGAAGATCAATGTTCTCCTGATGGTGGTCTCATGAACACTGACATTCACCAATGCAAGAAAGGCCTTTAGTTCCTTAGAAGTTACCTTGGGCTTCTTTGAGACCTCCCAGCATATTACACACCTTGCTCTTGGTTAGTCAAACACTCTTGGGGAGGTAACCATGGTGTTGAACTGCCTCCATTTGTATATAATCTGCCTCACAGTGGATTGGTGGAGTCCAAACTCTATGCAAATAGCTTTGTAACCTTTTCCAGCCAGGTGAGCATCAACAACTGTTTTTCAGAGGTCCTCAGAAATCTCCTTTGTTTGAGCTGTGACATACTTCCCCATACCTGTGTTGTGAAGATCAGACTTTGATAGTGAATACTTATAATTCTGTTGTTTAAATAAGGCAGGACATCCCACGCTTACACCTGATTATCAATGCATTGATTAAAATGCCTGACTAATTTCCCCTTCAAATGAACTGATAAACCTAGAGGGTCATATATTTTTGCCACAAATATTAGCTTTGGATCATTTTCCTCAATGAATAAGTGATTAAATGAACAAGTATAATGTTTTTGACTCATTTGTTTCATTGGGTTCTCTTTATCTAGTTTTAGAACTTGTGTGGAGAACAGATCCCATTTATGCAGAAATACTGAAAAGTCAAAAGAGTTCACAAACTTTAAAGCACCACTGTAGAACTAAAAGATTAAACTGGAAGAAACAGTTGCTTTTCCTCAACTTTGCACTGATAGCACAGAGGAGAAATATTTTGATGTTAGTGCTATGGCAGTTGAAATAAAATTGAGGGAAAGGGCAGGAATTGGCCCAGGATCCTAAGCAATGAGGAAATGTTTCCCACTCAAAAATCTACCCCAGCTCTAGAACATTCTAACAATGGCCTTTGTGCGGCAGGTGCATCACCTAACAATGTGAGGCAGGAACCATGAAGAAGAAAATTCATTTTTATAGGAAGTGAAGGAAACAGATAAATGAACGGCAGTTTCCCAAGTGAGGTTGTTTGTTAAAGCATCGTATCAACACTTGAATAGTGTTCTGAACTATGTACGTCCCGTGATTGACCTGCATTTTTTAATTAACAACTGGAAGAGAGGCTGCTTAGACAAGCTATTCCTATTTACTCCTGAGAGCTAGAAGATAACAAACATCCAGCTCTAACCTCAATTAGTAAATTATTGTCATAGCAGGCGCCCAACGCCTGCTAGACACTTAATCCCCATTCATATCTAACCCTCCCTTACTGATGCCTAAACTAGGCAACTCCAGGGGTGGAGGGGGAGAGAGAGGTTGTAGGGCGATAAAAGATGCTCAATAAAAGCAACCCCTTTGTAAGTCGAATTCCGGAGATCATCCCTACCACTTGGAATCACTGTGGCAATTGGGGAAAGACCCTCGGTGCTGTAAATAATTAATGGGTACAATTTAAATAAAAATTATTCTGTTTGTTTCGGTCCTGGCACCTCTTTTAATGTCTTTGATATCCTGCGTCAGTATACATCCTGGAAATTCTAAATTAGCCAGCAACATACAAATTTCAGAAAAAAATATAGCACATTTTGCACTAAAATGTGTTCGATACTATTTTGGGAAACAGAAAAAGAGAAGTAAAACAAGACATTTCTGAAGAAGAAGTTGATACAAACAGTTAAACTGCTCCGTTAGTGATTATTCTTTTCATTTATCACATTTTACCTCTCTGGATTTTGTACAGAAGTTTCAGTATTACAGAGCTCCTGTATCCGTTTTTTAAAACAAGTATAGTGAACAATTGCCAGATAAATGTTGAGCTGAGATCGCCACGGCATTTCTTCATTATACAGCCGACGAAACCTTCTTCGTCTTATGTAGACATCAGAACATATATTTAGCTTAATTATCAGGGTTTGAAAAGCTATTTTTCTTATTTCTTCTTTTTCATTCCTAAATAAAATCACAGGGACAACACCTTGGATGATAAGCAGTTACAGGAGAAAAACATTCTGAGACTACAGAAACAATTACATTCCTGATATATGTATATATACATTTATATTTATTTATTTGAAGCTTACTTCTTTATAGATATCTGTATCTACAAAGAACTAAGTTTCATTAATTTATTCTAAAGTAAACATATGTAGCAGAAAAGAAGAACAACTTCTAGAAGAGGGACCAGCTTGCTCCCTAGGCCAGATTTAGGGGCAAGATACCATATCACTCTATGAAGCCCTCTCCACTTGCATTATGAAATTCCTAGCAAGCAATGTGTTCAAGGCATAAGGGGCTCTTTAAAACTGTAGCTTCTGTTAAGCTGACTTTGTTTACCTTTAGCTTTTCATGTAGGAAAGTTTTGAAGAAAGCCAAGTCTCTAAAAGTCAGCACTTCAAATATTGTCTCTAACAGGTTATTTCACGTTACCCCACTATTCCCTATTATTTTCTATACTAAGTAATTTTCTATTATTTTCTATGTGTAATTAGCCAGTTTGCTGTAGTGGTTAAGGTACAAGGCTAGAAACCGGAAGACTGTGAGTTCTATTTTACATATTAAACAAGTAATATTTTTTTTAAATTCTCAAATGGTCTAACAAGCACCTATGAATGGCTGTACAGAATCTAAAATTATCAATTGAAGAAAAAAAAAATAGGAATGGGAAGGGAATTAGCTTATTCAGACTCTAAACTTTCTTATTGTAACTGGAGAAATTGAATTCAGATTTGGAGGAATATATGTCTCAAGTTTAAAATGCCCCTCTCTATACTGTATACATGAGACCCAGTTTGTGGTAGTGATTAAGGCACCAGGCTAGAAACTAGGAGATGGTGAGTTCTACTCCTAGCTTAGGCATGAAGCCAGCTGGGTAACCTTGGGCCAGTCGCTCTCTCTCAGCCCTAGGAAGCAGGCAAGGGCAAACCACTTCTAAAAGCTTGCCAAGAAAATTGCAGGGACTTGTCCAGGCAGTCACCAGGAGTCAACATTGATTCGAAAGCAGGCACGCAAACACACAAAAAGTAGTGTACACATATAGTCTCTCAAGTCCTGCTATGCTGCTTCATTATGGCAACAAGGGGTGTTCCTGCGAGGGAAAAGCTAAGAATTCTGGGAGTATACACCAGAGTATATACTCCCAGCAGGGGCACCCAAGGCATGAAGCTGTCCAAAGAAAGCAGACAGACACCTGTATCTAGCAACAGTGATAAAGGACAATGCCGAAGGCAGATTATCACTTTAGTGACAACAGCAAAAGCATCATTTGATACTATGTGGGAGAAGGCAATGATAAACCACTCCTGTATTTTACCAAGAAAACCACATGGATAGACAAGATAAAGTGATTAACAGTATAGTGCTGAATGGTGGGCCCCTCAAGCTGGATGAAACTTAATATGCTACTGAGGAAGAGCTGAGGATCTTTTGGACAACTAATGATGTTTATGAAGTGCCTAAATTAAATTCCTTGAGACATCTAGCTGATGTTGCCATGAAGGAAAAGGAAATCCAAAGCTGCAAAGACAGAATTACAGTGGGAATGTGGAACATGAAAACATGAACACAGGTAAGCTCAACACAGTGAAAGATGAAATGAGTTGACTACTTACTGACATTAGAGAATTGGAATCCAGTGGAACTTCAAACAGAATATCATAATGTTTACTATTCAGGACATGGAAAACAAAGAAAAGGATTTCCAGGGAGCAATGGCAGGCTGCAGACAGCAAAGCCAACGGCTGCAGTGGAATGGGAGGCCAGCAAACAGATCGGCACCTTGAAATTCCTCTCCAGATAAAAGGGAGGACCTGGGATCCCCCATAACTGCTCCATACAGAGATTCCCCACAAGGAGACAGTAAAACAATGGTCTCTGGTTGGTTTTAGAGGTCTGGGAGCTGAGGGAAAGTCAGCTTTGCCCAAGCCACGATTTGTAGCCTTCAAACAACCACTGTGTTTGCCCACTTCCTCTCCTACTCATTTCTGGAACTTGCTTGTTAACTGCTTTTTGGATATTAAGAATCTTCAGAATGACAAATTTCATCACACTGGGTGATTCTCTTTCAATCCTCAGTAAAAGAAGTTTCATGTAAGTTTAAGAACTTAAACAAAACCTTTTTATTCTGAAATAAACAGCAAAAGAGTGATTAGAACATTTACTTTGGAAAGTTATAAACAGACTAAGGGGCCAGATGGATTGGAAATAAGATTTTGAAATTAATTAAAAGAATCCTTCCTGTGGCTTGTTTAAAATCCTATTAAAATATATGAGTAATTTGAATCTAAATGTAAGAAATCTTCCTGTGGGAAAATGTGGATTAGAGAAAAATACGATAGGAGACTTTGAAAGCGGGATGCTAGAAGCAACCAGAAAGAACTAAATATTATAACTGAAGAAGAGACCCACTAATACAGAATGGAGAAAAGTATTTTAACTTTGGAAGAATTCAAGGAT